AAATTGTATTGAAATGCTATAAAATATATTCAGTCTTGAATTATCCCTTAAACAGTTTGTTTGCCTTTTGTAATAAAAGCATTTTTCATTGAATACCGCGTGTATTTCATTGGAGGTCTTTTGTCCTAAAAGTTGGGACACGGGACCGCTCTTACGAGCCCTCAAAGGCAGCAAACCATAGGGATTGTCCGGAAGGACCCGAAGACTCAACGGCGATAACAGGACTACTAATTGTAGTCATTTATACGGTAAGAAGACTTCTAGTCTGAGAAGTCCTATTAGTGGCCAACGTCTGTTCACCACCCGCCAAGTCTCTACCATCTACACCAACAACGGGTGAACAGCAGTTCCCACACCTGAAGACCAATTATTTCATCACACGTCTATAAATTATTAAGTATTTTATAAGATTTTTATTTTATTTTTAAAACATTTTCAGTCGTCTCTATAATAACTTTAACAAAAGTTTATTTTATTTCACAAATTTTATATTATAATATTTGCATTATCTGTATTACATAAAATATAATATATTATCTAGATATTACCTAGATATTATGTTTTGTAGTGAATTACATTAGACTTTTGTATAAGATAAATAATGTAACACAATAATTACAAATATTTATTAGTGCTAACTATTTAATGGACAATAATAGACACTAATAGGGAGCGTTAAGGGCCCCGCCATCGGAGACAAACTTAATTCCCGTTACAAACGAGGCCTCGTCTGAGGCCAAGAAGAGTATGGCGTTCGCGATGTCTATGGACTCACCGACCCGTCCGACCGGGTATTTGCTGTCCATTTCAGTATATAATTCCTCACATTTCTCTTTAGTAAAGCCCAAAGCCTGAAGGAAGTTAGTCCTAACGGCCGCCGGACTATACAATAGACACAATATATTAATTATTATTGAATAATCAATAAAAGTAATGATTGATTACTTGATAACATTAACGCGAATCCCTTTTGGGCCCAACTCTAGCGCTAGACATTGGGTGAACATATCGAGTGCACACTTTGACATAGAGTACAGATACCCTCCGGCGGACTGTTTTTGTATTAAATGTTATGTATAATTAGTTTATTAATTTAATATTGATTCAATATATTAATGTAAATTCAATCGAAGATCATCTACCGGTTTAAGTCCCGCAACACTCGATATGTTAATTATATTGCCTTTAGTTTTCTCCAAGTGTTCGACCGATAGATGTGTTAAATAGACGACTGAACGCAGGTTTGTGT